TAGCCCCTCCCCCTACAGCCTGTTAAATGACTGTATCCCCCAAGATACAGAAACTCTTTAAACACAAACTCACTTCTGTCACAGAAACAGCCTCGTCAACACCAAACCTTCCCACTCCCCCCACTCGTTCCACTTCCCCTGAATTATGATCACCTGCACCTGTCACCATCACCTGCCTGCAATCTGCACGTTCATCACCAGCACCTTAAAAACACCACAGTTCACTCAGCTCACTGTCTGGTCTCGTCAATTCATTCGACTACCTGACTCTCCGTCTAGGATCACCTCTACCCACTATTGACTTCCTGCTGTATTACTTACCCGCCTTCTGTGAATCTCCCATCTGTATCTCCGGTCCTTCAGTCTTCTGCCAGTCATCCGTCTTCCATCCTGCTCGACATCTTCACCCTGCAACAGATTAGAGACTCAGTCAAAACCATCACTAGTTCAATATTCATATCTGTCATCAAACCAGCTACTCACCTGCCGTATCTGTTCTTGAGTGTCTTTAATAAAACCTCTTATTTACGTTACCTGTTTGTGTCGTTCTGATCTGTGACAAAAGACCAGACCAACTATGCACGAACCAACAGATCACGGCGAAGAGGAATCTTCACCACCAGTCACAGTCGCTGAAATTTTACAAGAGATTGAGCGCGCCATTCATCCACCCGCCATCTGCTCTTCGTCACTCTGCCTCTGTCAGTCCCATGGCCCGACCAGCGACCTATTCAGGCACGGAGGGGGAGTGCAGCGGTTTTCTTCTCCAGTGCGAGCTTTTTATGGAGATACAAGCCTCTCTGTTCGCTTCTGAAAGAGCGAAAATCGCATTCATCATCTCTCTTCTCACAGGACGTGCACTTCTCTGGGCTCGGGCGCTATGGGATGCGAATGGAATTGTCACTCAATCCTTTGCTAACTTCATCGGCCGTTTTTCACAAGGTTCAAATTCCCTTTCAATTCATGACAAATTATTTTGTTTACGGCAAGGAAAATCCTCTGTGTCCGATAATGCCTTGCAGTTTCGCACTCTTGCAGCAACCAGTGGTTGGAACGAGACTGCTTTAATAACAGCTTATCGCCAGGGCCTTAACAAAATATTCGCTTACAATTGGCTATTTAAGATGACATCATTGGGGTGGAAGGCCTCATTCAATGCTCCATTCGAGTTGCTCAACGATGCACCGGCTGTCAGCTAGATCACCCTGCAGAGCCTCCTCCTCGTCCTGCGACCACTGCCAGCCCTCCAGCATCAGAACCCATGGAAGTAGATTCGACCCATCTAACATCAGCCGAACGTCAACGCCGCATCCTCAACCATCTCTGTCTCTACTGTGGGACAGCCGGTCATCTTCTCGTCACATGTCCAGTCCGTCCCCCACGACCTGCGGTGAGTACTATTTGTCTACCATCACCCATTTCTTCCATGAAATACACTCCTGTCCTGCTCACCTATGTTCGAAGAACTCTTTCAGCGAAAGCGTTGATCGATTCAGGTGCCGCTGGCAATTTCATTTCACTCTCCACACTGCAAAAACTTCGAGGTCGCCAGAGAACCATGTCTCAAATCCTGCATGTTCAGACCATCCTAGGAAAGCCACTTGGTCGTGGGAAGATCTGGTATTGCAGTCCCACCATCACACTAAGAATTGGATGCCTACATGAGGAGGAACTTTCGTTCATGGTGCTGGAGGGCTCAACTGCAGACATCATCCTGGGACGCCCATGGCTGGGACTTCACTCACCGAACATCTGCTGGCCTTCAGGTGAAATCTGTCAGTGGGGAAGAGAATGCTTTTCTCATTGTTTGTACCCAGTCAAGAAAATAAATTCATCCTCCATCGTCTACTTCAGCATCCAAAGTCACAATCTGCTCAACTTCTGTCGAGAGTCCAGCCACCACTATACATCATGAAATTCCAGTCATCTACCGGGCGTTCCAGGATATTTTCTCCAAACAACTGGCAACCAAACTTCCACCACATCGGTCATGGGACTGTGCGATCGACCTGCTGCCTGGGGCTACTCCACCGCGTGGAAAGATCTATCCGTTGTCCATCCCGTAACAGAAGGCCATGGAGGAGTATATAGAGGAGGCTCTTCATCAAGACTACATTCGACCATCCACGTCCCCTGCCGCTTCCAGTTTCTTTTTCGTCGGTATGAGTGGAACCTTTGATGAGTGGAAGACGGCGTTCATCACCCCAGCTGGCCATTATGAGTATAGGGTCATGCCCTTCAGACTGTCCAATGCTCCTGCCGTCTTCCAAGGATTCATGAACGAGATCTTCAGAGATTTCCTCCAAAGGTTTGTCATTGTGTATATTGATGACATTCTCATCTATTCTGCCAGTCTATCTGAACACCACCACCATGTTAAACAAGTGCTTCAACGACTACGCGATCATCAGCTCCTTCTTAAATTGGAAAAATGTGAGTTCTACCAAGAGACTGTCCAGTTCCTGGGTTATGTGATTAACCAACACGGAATTACCATGAACCAGAGGAAGGTGGAGCCGTTTCCAACTGGCCGTTACCATCCAAGGAGTAACATCGTTTCTTAGGGTTCTCCAACTTTTATTGATTTATAGATTCATCCAAGGTTTCAGCAAGATCAGCGCACCCATCACATCGTTGCTGAGGAAAGGGGCCAAGTCTCTGTCCTGGACCACTGAAGCCACCAATGCCTTTGAGAAGATCAAAGCCTCCTTCAGTTCCGCTCCTAACCTCATTCATCCAAACCCTGATCTACCATTCCTCGTTGAGTTTGACGCCTCAACCACCGGTCTAGGAGCGGTTCTTTCCCAGCGGCAGGGGAAGCCTCCCAGACTCCATCCATGTGCCTTCTTCTCCAAGAAACTGTAGAATTACGACGTCGGCAACCGGGAACTACTGGCCATCAAACTGGCTTTGGCGGAGTGGACACACTGGCTGGAGGGAGCTAAATTTCCATTTGAAGTCATCACTGATCACCGAAACCTGGAATATCTTCGAGATGCAAAACGACTCAACACCCGTCAAGCCCGCTGGTCACTCTTCTTCTCCCGGTTCAATTTCAAAGTCACCTATCGGCCTGGAGAGAAAAAATGTAAAAGCAGATTCCCTCTCTCGTTTGTATCAACCTGAATTCACCTCCACTAGTCCAGAACCTATCCTCCCTCCCTCCAGCCATGATTGTCAGCCCAATTCAGTGGAGTCTGGACGACCATATCGCCGAAGCCACCCTAGCCGAATTTGCTCCGCCGGGAGATCCTGAGTTCCGTCCCATCTACGTCTGTCCCTCATGGACTCAGTTCTGGGCTCTGGACACCCAGGCAGCCAACAAACTCTTGCAACAGCGCTACTGGTGGCCCAATATGGCCCAGGATACCTCCCGATATGTCAGGAGTTGCTTAGTCTGTGCCATGGCTAAAGTTCCCAGACGCCTTCCTGAAGGTAAACTCGTACCTTTTACCTGTACCCACTAGACTGTGGTCTCATCTCGGGGTGGACTTCATCACAGATCTTCCGTCATCAGATTCACATTGACCGCTTCTCAAAAGCCTGTAAATTAATTCCTCTGCCTGTTCTTCCCACAGCCTTCGAGACTGCTGAAACCCTCTTCAACAACATCTTCAGACATTTCGGTATACCAGAAGACATCGTATCTGACCACAATTCATTTCACGAGTCTGGAAGTCTTTCTTCAACCTCCTGAGAGTGTCCATAAGTTTAACATCTGGGTATCATCCACAGTCGAATGGCCAGGCTGAGAGGAAGATACAGGAGATCGGGAGGTACCTGCGGTCATATTGCCACGACCATCAGGACTGCTGGAGCCGTTACCTACCCTGGGCCGAGTGTGCACAGAACTCCCTTCAGCAATCTACCACTGGTCTCACACCCTTTCAGTGCATACTCGGCTACCAACTGCCCCTGTTTCCCTGGTCAGGAGAGCCTTCCGACATTCCAGCAGTCCAACCAGGACAAATGGTCTGGCTCTCCACCCGGGACATCTGTCTCCGACAGCCCTGCCGTAGGCTGAGTCCCAGGTACATCGGTCCGTTCGCAATACAGAGGCAGATCAAAGAGGTCACCTACCGGTTAACACTTCCCTCACACTACCGCATCTCACCTTCATTCCATGCCTCACTCCTGAAACCATTCACTAATCCTCTGATTCCTTCCTCCCCAGGGTCTGGTGCTGGAGACGTACCTCCTCCTCCTCCGGTGGATCCTGAGGAAGAAAATATTTACAGAGTTCAAGACATCCTCGACTCCCGGCGACGGGGCAGCCACTTAGAATACCTTGTAGACTGGGAAGGTTTTGGCCCAGAAGAAAGATGTTGGGTTCACCGTGATGACATCTTAGACCCAACACTTCTTCAAGACTTCCACATTGCTCGTCCCGATCGTCCAGCGCCGAGAGGTTGTGGTCGTCCCCGTCGTCGGTCTTTCCCCCATCAGGAGGTCTGTCCATATAAACTTTCCTCGTCCACTTCACGAAGTGGAACACTCTTCAAAATGGCGGCAGGGATTCCCCCGAGGGGAAGTGCTTAGGGAAGTTCGCAAGTGCGTGTCTAAAAGTGGACTGGAACGCAGCACAGGTCTCTTCTCCGGTCCAACCCCCAACAGCTTTACATGAGGTCCAGGACCAATCTTAAAGGAGAAGTAGGGCACACAAGATTAAATAGCTGCCTAAATATAATAGGAAAACACCAGACTGGACTATGTATACATTGTGGAGAAGTGGAAAATGTAAACATGTACTCTTGACATGTAGAAAGTACTCTAAAGGAAACCCTCTAAAGTTATGATCTTTCTGAAAGAAACTCAGCTTGCAATTTTTTTTTTTTTTTTGTAAACTGACAGCCCAATGAGATCACACCTCAGTCCAGAAGATGGCGGTAATGCACCTCGTTTGCAAACTGCCAAAAAAAACTACAGAAGAAGGAGACAGCAGAAACAACAACAGAAACAACGTAGCTGCATTATGTCACAAACGTGACAGTTTAGTGTGTGTGTGTGTGTGTGTGTGTGTGTAGAGTGTGGGGTGTGTTTATTACAGTAGAAGGCTGGTCTTGTCCTGAAGCTATAAATGACCCGCAGCTCCTCGAGACTGAAGGAGATCATCGACAGACACACACACACAGAGGAGGAACTTCATTCAGTGTGTGTTTCATACAGTTGCTGATCTGTGAGTGTGTGAGTGTGATGATGAGCGTCTCGCTGTGTGCTGCGCTCCTGGTGTGTCTGTGTGTGTGTGTGAGCGAGAGCTGCACCTGTTTTCCAGCTCATCCACAGGAGTTATTCTGCAGTTCTTCGTTAGGTACGTCACACTGGAGCTCAATCTCATTACAGCTGGATTACAGAATCAGATTTTAAAAAATGGCAACACTTTACAATAAAGTTCATTAGTTAACATTAGTTAATGTATTAACTAACATAAACTAACATTGATCAATACATTTGTTACAGTATTTATTTATCTTTGTTAGATAATAAAAATCCCTAGTTAATCCGTTAGTTAATAAAAATCCAACTGTTCATTGTTTGTTCATGTTCACGGTGCATTAACTAATGTTAACAAATCCAACCTTTAAATTTAATGGTAAATTTATTAAAAATGTATTATTAGTAAATGTTGAAATTAATATTAATTAAGATTAAATAAATGCTGTATAAGCGCAGTTCATTATTAGTTCATGTTTACTAATGTAGTTAACTAATGTTAACTAATTAACCTTATTGTAAAGTGTTACCAAAAAACGATATACTTGTAAATATGCATTTTATTGAATACTAAATATTCACAAAATTACTTTTTTGAAATATTCAAAAATTATTCATAATTTTTTGTGATTCTCACTAATTTTTCTTTTTTATCTTTTAAATAACAGTGTATTGCTTATGTATGTTTGTCTTCCAGTTTTGTAGAATCTAACAAGTTGGAGGCCACACGACATATCTCATCTTTTTGATTTTTACATTTTTATCAACTATTAATTAACCTTTTCATTAAACCTACTGCAGTTGCTTCACAAACCCCAGTTTGACGTAATTTTGTTGATGACAATTTTGCAACAATTTTTTTCTCTTTGTATTTTTGTTCCATAGTACCAGAATATCCTATTCAAATCAATGTGATAAACAAGTTAAGGCTAAACATAAAGTCAGACGTAATCTAAAACTAATCAGTAGTCCGAAAATGTGTAACGTAACAGATTACATTACAAACTGCAGGTTTCATCATGCAATTTTGTATTCTGTAATGGACTCTACCCAACACTGCTTATGCACTATTTGTTCATAATTTTTTAACTAACTGAGAGTAGTTTTTGGTTCTCTACCTAACTGGGAGTAGTTTGGGATCTCTAACTAACTGAGAGCAGTTTTGGATCTCTAACTAACTGAGAGCAGTTTTGGATCTCTCACTAACTGAGAGCAGTTTTGGATCTCTAACTACTGAGAGCAGTTTTGGATCTCTCACTAACTGAGAGCAGTTTTGGATCTCTAACTAACTGAGAGCAGTTTTGGATCTCTCAATAACTGAGAGCAGTTTTGGATCTCTAACTAACTGAGAGCAGTTTTGGATCTCTAACTAACTGAGAGTAGTTTTGGATCTCTAACTAACTGAGAGCAGTTTTGGATCCCTAACTAACTGAGAGCAGTTTTGGATCTCTAAGTAACTGAGAGTAGTTTTGGATCTCTAACTAACTGAGAGCAGTTTTGGATCTCTAACTAACTGAGAGCAGTTTTGGATCCCTAACTAACTGAGAGTAGTTTTGGATCCCTAACTAACTGAGAGTAGTTTTGGTTATCTAACTAACTGAGAATAACTAAGCCCCTAAGTTAATAACTATCTTTGCAACGGAAGTGAATCAATCAAAAACTAACTTTAGCTGTACAATAACTTTATTCTAGAGCTGCTGTAAAGCCTAAACAATCTCTGTTACTGTAATTTCCTATTATCACTGCTTTGAAACAATCTATATTGTTCAAAGCGCTATATAAATAAAGGTAACTTGACTTGACTAACGCGCTCAGAATCACACGGTATATAACTGATTATTTTCCCATTAGTGATGCGAGCTGAGGTAACTGGGAAGAAGATCTTACCAGGAGAGATAAATACAGAGGGCATGGAAGTTGTTCAATATGACATCAAAGTGAGAAAGGTGAGCTAAAGTATTGATGATCATATGAATGTTCTGCTGGGAATTATAATGATCTGATATAGTATGCTTTTCCTGGGACAGATTGGCCTGATGTCAAAATCAGGAGTGTGTTTCCCGAAAGCATCGTTCGCCAACTATAGTCGCAAGTTCCGTCGTTATCAGCAGTTCAACGAGTCTGTGTTTCCCGAAACCATCGTTCCAACACACATTCACAAACAGCATCGCAGAGTTGTGTGTTTGACAGATCTATAGATCTAGCTGTGGTTAGAAGCAGAGTTTCCAGTTTGCATGACATGTGGACTCAATAAATCCTGATCTTGAGCAAAATAAGCAAGCCGACATTCAGTGCAATCTATAATCTTTTATTTAGAACACATACCAATGTCATTTACGTCTTTTAGTTTGTCAAGAGATTTAAAGCGTAGGTTTTGAAGATTGCGCATGTGCGAACGAGCTCTAGTGTGTAGAACGAGCCTATGATTGAATCTGGAAATAAAGCAAAATAGCTGAGAAAAATTAGAAATATTCCTCAGATGCCATGTCCGTAATTTATAGTAAAACATCTCGGGCCCTATCTTCCACCCAGCGCAATTGACTTCGTACACCGACGCATGTATCATTCCTATTTTGCACCCAACGCACAGCGGACTCTTCCCTCCACAGACCCACGTCGGTAAATGAGGGAATGAACTTGCGCTCCCGGGGCGGTTCAGGGGAAAGAGGCGGTGTGTTCCGGCGCAAACGTTCCCTGGTGCTGTTTTGCAGCGTGTTATTCAGATGCTATTTTAAGAGCGCATGCTTGGCCATAATGTAGCGTGTGACTGTGCACAAAGCGGATACACTTTGCTTCTCTCATACGTGACGCAGCCCCATTTTTGCACACCATACATAATAACAAGGGAAAATATTACCACACAAGGGAAATCATTGTGGTGTCCATGAAGATGTGGACAAATAGGCATAATATAGCTTACACATTTACCCGAATTATTATACGTGAGTTGAACCGAAGCTAATTTGGGTGTGTTTCTCCCATCCTCATACAACGCCACTTCTCTGTCTTCTACGGCCCTGACGAGAACGCCGGTCTCCTCGGCTGTGAACCGCTCCTGGCGTGCGCCTGGCAAATCCGCCGTTATAATAGTGATCCGCCATGGACAAGCGCGCCGGCTCTTAAAGGGAATGTGAGATGGCGCTCTGATTGGTTTATTGCACGTTACGCCCAAACCACACCTATGAGTAATGTAGCGACTTCAGACCAACACATTTTATATTTGCGTCGAGATCCGGCCACAAAAGGTTCGTTAACAGATCTTTAAAATAGGGCCCCTCGCGTTAATTCCATCTCAAACAGATTCATTAAAAGTATTATTACTCCAACACCTGCATGCAGGGCCGTAGCTAGAGGATTCGGGGCCCCCTGAAAAAATATTGATGTGGGCCCCCACCACCCCCCACCAATATCATATACTGTACAATAGATGAACATGGAGGCCCACATATAAAAGAAGATGGTGATGTTGTTGTAAAACCTTTATTTTAAAAGTTAAATGTTTATATAAAAATTACAACTAATAAAAACTAACAAAAAGCAAGAAATTGTTAAATAATAATAAAAACCAATTATTAAAAAGTAATATTTTTTTCCCCCATCAGTCTGTTATAATTCATAAATTAAAAAGTAAACATTTAGAAATTGACAAGAATGCAGTCTAATTAAAAAAATAAAACCATTTATTGCCTTATTTTTTAATAAAGATAATATGGAACTGGTAATATTATTAAATAAAGCGAATACATTTATTCATCCAAGTGCAGTGTGTTGTATTCGTGTTTTCTCGATGTTTTAAATATCATCAGCCGGCAGGTCAGATGCATAATGCAATGCGTTGTGACTCGTGTAATTTTTTTAAAACTCTATTTACAATAGTGTAAAAAGACAGGAATTTAGACCACGTAATCATTCGGTCGATTTTGTGGCGCGCACCGATAATAAAAAATGACTGTACACGGCAGACTGTAGACGGAAGTTTTCTAATTCCCAGCGAAATAACAATAATTTTAAGAACGTCTTGATCGAATGGGATACAACCACTCTCCTTGCCTCCCTCTCCGTCTTTTCCTGGCATTTCTGGTCCCTGATTTCTGTTTTCTTTTCCCCGACATTTTTCAGTCAGTCAGTCTCCTGCTCTTCCACCAAGTCCATCGTTAACTTCAGGTTCTGCCGCCTCAACTCTGATTGGTTCTGTTCACGAGCTGGGGTGGGACTTACAATTTTATTGGGTCCATCTGATGTTTGTCACTGACTCTGACTGAATAATTAATAAATACTTTAGGTCGGACTAAACCATTTTTATGGAGGTAAGAGAAGCAGATATTTGGAAACATATTTACCCAAATTGCACGTTTTTGTGGTTTTCATTTAAATCTCAGGCATACAACTAATATAAATATTAGAATTATTCATACAACAGGGGCCTAAATAGTATAACTGCTGGATTTTGTGGGGCCCCCTGGGCAGTGGGGGCCCCTATAATTGTCACCACCTTTCACCCCACTAGCGACGGCCCTGCCTGCATGACATCATTAACCAACGTGGTTGAACGATCAATTTGCGACAATACAGTTTCGGGAAACAGTCGTGACTAGTGAGATGATTTCTTCAGCGATGCATCATCGCACTATAGTAGGGAAGCAGCGAGTTACAACGTTATACGGGAAACACACACCCCTGAATAGTCCATGATTAAAATGGAGAGTTACAGTCTTTTTAGGGTTCTTGTCGACACATATACATGTGTGACAACGTGTGACATACACTTTGGACACACGGTTCGTGAAGCTTCGAAACCTTTGCAAAGCTTTTTTGCTAAAATCACGTGACTTTGGCGGTTTGATACACGCTCCGAATCACTGGTTCGAAGCAAAGGATTCGAAGGTTCACGGAGCGTGTTTCTGTAGCATCCGACACTAGAGACTCTATTTTAAATTGAATAATTTTTATATAGTGGATCTGCAGACCCAAAACACAATACACTGCTATACAATACAAACAATAGTTTTACAAAATCATGGTTTTGCAGGTGTTCAAAGGTTCTTCTGACAGAATAAAGAAAATCAAGCATGCCTCTACATTGGAGATAATGTGTACGGCCATACTGGGTCACGGCCAGTATCTGCTTTCAGGTAAACACAAAGTTCAGTCTGATCGGTCCTTAACTCATTCTGCTTGCAATCACATCAAGCTCTATAGGGCTCAGCTGATTGGTTCCTGCTGTATCAGTAGCCAATGAGCTCGATGCTCAACCTTCAAATGCTTGGTCAGTGTTTGCTGTAGCATCTTTCAGAAACCCTCCACCTTCCCCAGCTCCACCTGTATATCTCTGCTACGGGTCATTCATGTATGTTATATTGAACAGCAACATTAGGCAACATTCGAAAGCTTACAAACTCAGTAATTCATCCTGTGAAAAGTATTTTGAAATTGGATGTTGCCTTACCATGTAAATGGTACTTTAAATGATTTAAGCAGGCTCCTCCCCTTCATATTACAAAAATTATTTTAATTACTTTATTATCAAATCTTTTCTAATCTTGACACAACCCATATCGTTGGAAAGGTCTGAGTCTCAAGGTTCCATATTTGGTGACTATTTTGTGATAGAAGCAATATTTGGGCAAAAAAAAAATGAATTTGTTACAGGAGAATGCATCAAAAACATTTACAAATTATGGAATTTTGGTACAATGTTTAAACAAAATCTCATAGAAACGTACATTTTTGTGATATCAACTTCAAATTTGGAACACAACTTGGTTAGATATGTAGCTTTGATTTAATAGTAATTTATAGTAAAAAAAAACACCAACATAAAAAATGTTTAGTACAGTACATTTGATTTACAGTAAATTTAAACTTCCATAACTTTCACATCAGCAATAATCTGCTGAGGGCCTTTTTAAAATAAGACCAAACGGTCTATATTCCAAAGCATTCTAGAATTACAACCATTTTAGTTTAGATAGTGACAGTTATGTGCGATCTGACATAATCGAGGATGTGCATCTCTTTACAGAAACACACCTAGAGCGCACACATACACTACATGATGTAGTCTATTAGTTTAGACTAGTGTGCTTGAGCATTTAGAGCGCACACTTCACTTCTGATTTACTCTAAAATGCTTTTATAACGTTATAATTCTTTAAATAATTTAAATCAATCATTAGCTCAAGTAGAGCATGAATTTACTGCTTGATAACCCAAGACTCGCTGTATGTGGCTTGCCATCGGCTGCATGACATGTTCCCTGGTTTGCTTTAATGTGTTTTATGACTTTTATACATCAACATGTCAGGCCGCTCCAGCTATACAACGCTGCGAAGGTAAATCAAGTTCAGATAGTTTTTAGGGCGACTCTTCACTGATTTAACAGGAATTAGGAAACACTGACTAACATTATGAGTGGACCTCAGAGAATATAAAACAAAAATGAAATATACAATATGTTTTCTGTCCCTAAGGATATATGGACAGTTATGACAGACTCTCCATTTCAATGTGCGACCTCATTGTGCGCTGGGACAGTCTCTCCTTAATGCAGAAGAACAACATCAAATACAGATATCAGAAGGGCTGTGACTGCAAGGTAAGAACACATTTATTTAGAGATGCACGAAATATCGGCCACCATATCAGTATCGGACGATATATGTCCATTTCTATGATATAGTTATCGGCCCAATAAAAGTTTTTTGCCAATATATTAAATAATGTATTTCCTTCAGCTGAGAGACTCTTCAGATGTGCACTGTTCAACATGATGGTTTTGAGTTGCATGAAATATGATTAGAATCACTTAAAAAAAGGGAAAATACAGTAAAGTGCAACACAAGTCTGTCATATCAGCTACATGAAATTATGAGAACATCATTATAATTGTGTGTTTGGGACATGGATTTTAAAGGTGAGACTTTTGTTTTTGTAATCAGGCTTTCAAAAATTATATTAAAACTTTTATAAAATAAAATATTCATATCGGTGCATCCCTACATTTATTTCAAGCCAGCTGACAATGATCCAAACATTACGAACTCAGTTCACCCTGTAACGATGAAATGAAACAATTTTCACATGTGTTTTATGTTTTGTATCTACACAGTAAAAAACGTTGGGATAATTTTAAACCTTACCGTTTTAGGTACACAAATTGGGTCATTGTGTTGGGTTATTATACAAAATATGTTGGGTAATTTTTTCAAAATTGTTGGGTAATTTTTAGTAATAACCCAATGCTTTGGGTTAAAATAACCCACAGTTGGGAAGGTGCTATACCACCCCATAGTTGGGTTACTCATTGGGTTATTTTTAACCCAACATTTTTAAGTGAGCAGTTAAACAGGTTCTAGAATACTAACTCATTCACTTATTAATTCAATGTCCAAAAGTACCCTGACATAGATTCGATTTATGAAGGTCCGAGTGAACAAAACCATAGCTGGTAGTGTATATTATATTGTATTGTAATATATTAATGTGAAATGGATCCGCAGATCTCCATCTGCACTCGCCAGCCCTGTCAGCCCAGCTCTGAGAGCGAGTGTGTGTTGGACGACTGGTCTTACTCGCGGTCAGAGCCACTTCTTGAGGCCGCCTGCGTCAGACACACCGACGGCTCCTGCAGCTGGGACACAGGAACGGCCAAAAACCACACACACACACACGCCTGACGTCTGCAAACCACACACACACACACACACACACTGAGTCTGAGTGGAAAACAAACTGCTTGATGCTGATCGACTCTGAACACAAGCAAGGCCTTTAACCTCCTGCAACCACCCAGAATAGACTACCTTGCATAATTGCATTGGATTATTAGCATGTCATATTAGGTCATCTGATTTTCTAGCTTATTATTTTGAATTGAGAAAAAAAAGGGTTTATGGGCAAAAACGCCGTTTTAAACTGATCTGTAATGCCTAAAGAAATCAGGAAGATTCAGGAAGATTCTGCATGGACCTTTCCCACATTTACACTTCTAAATTAATCTTTAGCATGTTACAATTTATCTGCATAATTTTGGCTAGCTGCAGTTTTATGAGGTATTTTTAACAAGTAATAAAACGTTTTCAAAAATGAAAACATGTGCAGGAATTTATGAAGCTGCCAACTGTGTCTATATCTCTCTATTATGAAGCAAACCTCATGTGTTGCAATAGTTGTTGTGGTCGTTCTCAATAAATCATGCGGATTTTGAAACTGTTCATTTAAGCATGAGATGCAGCTGCTTTAGCTTAGATAAGTTTAGTTTAGTTTAGTTTAGTTTAGTTTAGTTTAGTTCACTGCATTCACGCACTGCTTTGCACATATAAATGATAAAAAAAGCACTACACTTTTTAAAGGGATAGTTCAACATTTAAATTCTGTCATCAGCCTCAACTCTTCAGAATAATATCCCATCATTAATATCTGACTACAGGACAGATGAGTAGTGCTACAGTTTTATTATTAAACACAGATTGATGGATTATGAGACATGATGGATTTCAGGAAGTTGTTCTGTACCGTTCATCTTTCTTTCTGATGTTCATTGATGTTTATTTGCTGCTTAGTAGTAAAGAGGAGGAGATGATCGGTTCATCCGTCACACACATTAAACACACACAAACACACATTTACTGACTCAATTTACTGCTGAAAATTACGGGATTTAAAATCTGAAACATTGGTTTCTTTAAAATCGAGAAACTGATCACTTTATCCATCAGCCCTAATATTAACAATGACAAATTATAAAGAATTGCCATTAAATGACTGCATGTAAGTGATTGTCTTTTCTGCTATGATCATGTCATTAATGCATTGGTTATATTTCCCCGTCCCGTCCCCCTCTGGATGGGTTTGTGTCTGTGTGAACGGTTGAAACGCCGCCCTGAAGACCGAGCGCACAAGTCCACTCGTCAGTGTGCAAGTTTAACGTTTTGCTTTCCAGAATGCTTAGATTGCTTTATGTTCATCGGCTTCTACGGCACTGATTTTGAAATGAATTCGCTTTGCAGGACAGTCAACAAATTCATACAAAACACTGTTTCCATGAAGATAGATATGCAATTAACTATTAAGGAGTTCTGTGTATAATAAGCATCTGTGTGTATTTTATGGGAAATGTATGTTAGCATGTTGATAAATGTGCATGTTGTTAATGTCAATGCCTTAAATGAAATGCATTTATCTAGTATTGCTTTCCACTTTTGTGTTCTGATGAGCTTAGTGTTAAAAACTGAAAAAAAGATAATTTTAAGGCATTTTGTGACACATATTTGCAAAATGGTCGTACCATCATTTATTAACGTTGGTGGCATGTTTGCGAGGTGGCTGAAGAAAATAAAATCAATTTATAGGGGGAAATATCACCACGACCATGGGCACGCCAGGTGCTGTTTGAATGGGCATGATGATGCTTCTGTCCTCCACTGCATGGGGTGAGATGCGTGGCTCACTAGCTGCGTTTACATCACCTGTGATGCATACGAATTATGAAACGCGAATGTAAACCGTGTATTGAGTCGCGTTTCAAACTCATTGATCAATATGCTTGCGTAGGAGTCAGTGAAATGTGCGCTGGTTTTTCTCCGCGTTCTGCGCTGGTGTGCGAGTCTCATCGACAATAAACGCAAGCTCTTATCAGCCCTATCCACCGCGTTTACATTGTTATTAATAGTGGATACTTTCATGCGCTTCCATGTCCAAGTGTCTGCTATCAGACCCGTTGAAGTGCAGTTTCTGTTCATGTGTGCTATGTGTGTTAACCCAATAGAGCATCACAGTCCCGCCCACAGCCGGTGCCGGAAGTAAGAATTCAATACAATTTCTCCATTGACAATTGGGGTATAAGCCATAAAAACATAACCATACATGGTAGACTTAAAACCAGCTGCGGCTGTACTAAGCGATTGTATATGCTCATATAAACTCCAAAAGTTCATGGGGCACTAACATTGTTTTGAGATAAATGCCTTTTATTCGCAATGTCTTGGATAAGTATTTCATTACCCACAATCCTGAACAATCCCACAATCCCACAGTGATGCATCTGATTGGTGGAAGTCGTGTAAGTGTCTGGTTACCCTGCAAAGGTCCGTGAAGACCGAAGATCGTGTAATGACGAAGGGCTAGCTCATTGGTCGCATGTCAGAGGCGCCCGCGCCGCGCCATTGGATGTGCAGTTGCCGCAGCACAGCCTATGAGCGAGCCAGATGCTGAATGTGCTAGCTGTGCAGATGCAAATGCGTTTTACACATAAGCTTCAGTAAATCGAGGAAAAGGAGTTTCCCTGTACAATCACTATATAAAATTCAGTGGAGGAAAAAGTTCATATGGCCGTCGTCAGATTTGGAAGTCGCTCAAAAGGCTCTTTCACGGTTGTGGCTTCAGTCGACTTCAGTGAGGCGCGGTGGTTTATGGGATGAGTAGTTCCTTCGCTCGGAAATGAAAAGTCTTGTTGTACCTTTGAATTTTTTTTGGATTTTCTCTTCGTTTTTTCACTCGAAATGATATGTTGAATGCTAATGAGTCCAGCCGTAGCTGGTTATCCTCAGACATGCTGTAAAACTCTTTAGATATGGATTTTTCCAAACGTCAATGGGAGAAATGAATGGGAAATTTACTTCCGGCACCAAAGCTCTCTCGGGCTGTGGTGCTCTATATAGCCTACCCTACATACAGTTAGGGTGATATACATGACTTAAAATGTGATATTGTCCGCACACCTCTTGCGTTTCGTTTGCTTTTCACTGCAACTGTACTTTTCACACTATTTTATACTTTTTTTTTCATTGCTGGCTTATTTTATGAAAAAGTGTAGTGAATAAGAGACCTTCAAGAGACCAACATGCCTGGTCCTTCACAGTATCAGGTTTTTGCCATCAACTGCAACTGTGGAGAGATCCTTTTCAAAAATTAGGTTAATTAAGAACCAACTCTGAAGCCTCTGCTCAGAGGAGGGACTCTCAGACCTTCTGCTCATAGCCATAGAGAGGGACATCCCAGTGGATCACAGTAAAGTCATAAACATCTAGCCTGACTTCGTCATACTCATATTCTAGTCAGAATGTGAGTCTGATACTGCTCCAGGGCTTTGATTATGAGGCGTGTCTTAACCGAACCAGGAAAAAAAAAACTCTGCACTCAATTGGATAGACCTACAACCAATCAGAGCAACGCAGTAAGTGTTTTTTATATGAGCTACGCAAATTGTCAACAGAACTCTACACGCACGCTGGAAGAAGTAGTAAAATAATGAGTGTTGCTTCTTTTACTTGGTCCTCCATGAGTGCGACCAAAGGAGAAACCACAACGACCACAGGGTTTTCATTGCGTCCCATCTTCTTAGCGACCATCGGAGCCAGCTGATAAATTAAACTTTTGCCGAATCCCATTGTAAGGACGGCAAACACATCTTTCCGATCGACAAATGCCTTGATTGCAGTTCTCTGTTCGTCTTTTAAAATGAATGCGCTGTCGATTTCTTTTACAACAGACGCAATAGCGGAATCTATACATCTCAGTTCTCCAGCTGCAGTCATCTCTGAGGGAAACCAGTTCAACCCAAGCGCTCTTTGATAACGTGATGATTACGTAACTGCAGATCATCTGTCCATCATCGTATAAAGCCCGCCCTGGCAATTTGATTGGCCCGACTAATTCTGAACCGATCATAATTACTCCTCAATGAAGGGCGAGTCCAGACCGAACTTCCCGACCAAATAATGTTGTGGGCGGGGTTCGGGCTGGCATCCAGGCTAATAAACATCTTCAAGAATGGCTCACAGAAGGTTGCTGTTGTAATTAGGTTTAAAGAAGCCCTGCAACCCTGTATATCTATATTATCTATTAATTATTATTATTAATAGTGAATAAATCTAAAGCTTTTGAGACTATTATTTTTTTTATTGAATTTGTCATAAAGATGTGACCATTTCCTCCTTTTAGGCTTACTAAATAATCTTGATATAAAAAAAGGGACAGGGGTGCCCTTTTTCAGTTTCAGCACATGCCCCTCAAAAGGTCTGTGCACGGCCCTTAGAGAAGTACTAGTGCAACTTCTCTTCCATGCAGACTTTCAACATTAAACATTAAATTCCGAAACGAATTAGAACCGAATTATGTGCTTGTGAAACAGAATCATACCAAATTAGGAAGTCTGTATTAATACCCAGCCCTATCAACTACAGTGGATTTGATAATTGTGATGACGTTACATCACTCTGTAGAGATCCGTGTCCACATGAAAGTCTTTTTCTGATGGTCGATGGCAAAAATACCAAATTAATTTGCATTTAATATAAAAACAACTTTTTATTGGCACTACATGTTGATAGTGCTCAGTCTTTCTCATTGTATTCCATTTTTATTATAATTTTTTGTGCCACAACTTACAATGTGTGTTCTCGATGGAGCTTGAAGACGGCGCAGCACTCGGGCTGGAGTCCACGCACCGACAGGGCTTTGATGAGGCAGTTGCGCAGCGTCATTCCCGCTCGCACGTTCACCTAATTCAACACAAGTCTCAGATTTCATCACTTCAATGGCGAAGAAGGGTATGAACATGCATGTGAACGTTACATAGATCTTTAGTATTATAGCGACTAGCATTTGTGAGTTTGTAAAAACTAGAGATGCATGATATATCGGACACCATATCGGTAACGCACCGATATATGTTCATTTTTAATGTTATCGGTATCGGCCCGATGAGAAAATATGGCCGATATATTAAAGCTGATAAATAATGTAAAATGATAAACAAGTGGGATGAAATTCCTTTAATGATAGAGGAACCAGGGGA